ACTTTTGAAAATCTGAGTCTCAAAGGGATTGACAGTAGAAGCTCTCAATATAACCTGCCTGGTCCCTCCTTTCTTAGACTCTGATCCTGGGGGGACAGAAATAGTTACACAGAGCCCCACTGAGGCCAATAGGATTCTGCATGGGCAGAGCAGTCCTTCTGCAAGCTACCAAATATAGGATTGGGAAGTTAACAATTCACACACTAGATTTTGATTCATTTTCAACCGAAGAAAAAAGATTTAGACCATCAAAAAATCTTAAGCTTTATAAAACTCTTAGTAGTATTTTCTTGAGCTAGAATTCCAGCCGGATATAATCAGAGTGTGTATCATCAATTAGATCTGCTTTGTTGTCAGGTCCTAACTGACCACTGAAAGGACTCCCTCAAAGGCTTCCCTCATCAGTACAGTCTATTTGTAGCACAGCTGTTGGATTTATAGATCTAGTTAAGGCTGGTGGACTTCTATAGTTCGAGAAGTTGAAATAGACTGTTTTGTTTGGTTCTGCTGCCTGATTAAAGAAAACTGAATTCAAACTCCTTTTATTTAGAAAGAGAAGGACAGAGAGCAATTTCAAACATGTGCTCTCCAATATAATAGAAATTAATCCCTATAAGCACTAGAGAGAAAAGAATGTATTGATTATTCAATAAAAACATTGAAATACATATTATTTGAATATAGGCATTTTAATACGAAAATTAAATTTCCAGATTTGTAATCTAAGCAATAAATATTAGAATGTAACTGGATTGTTACTTATGAGATAATTAGTATTTTTGGACATGCATTATTTACACTTTTAGCAGAATCGTGAAGATTTATTTTCATAGATTTATTTTTGCTATGGATATTTAATTTTAAAGGGTAATTATTTTTGAGCACTCATATGCAAGATATATACATCACAATAAGAAACACGGCAGACCTCACAATCCAAGGCTCCAGGCCTGCAAAGACTTAAGCATGTGCATTGATTTATCCACATTAGTAGCCACATTCACTCTTTTGGAACTACTGATATAAGCAAAGTTACACCTGTGTTTAAATGTGTGCAGAATCAGAGCTTTAAAAAGAATGACACAGGAGGAGAAGATCATTTGAAAAAAAAAGAAAGACAGGTACAGATTGGCGGTAGCATCTTATTTCTACTCAAAAAAGGTGTACAGGGGGGTCTTGAAAGATCTGTGCTATGTTCTTGACTCAATTGTTGACCTGCTGTTTGACTTTGAGCAAGTCACTTCTCCTGTTTCTTCTCTTATTCTTTGTCTATACAGCTGTGCATAGTATAAGCCAGGGTTCGGCAACCTTTGGCGTGCAGTCCGCCAGGGTAAGCCCCCTGGTGGGCGGGGCTGGTTTGTTTACCTGCTGCATCCACAGGTTCGGCCAATCGCGGCTCCCACTGGCCACGGTTTGCCGTCCAAAGCCAATGGGGCTGAGGGAAGTGGCGCGGGCCAAAGGATGTGCTGGCCGCCGCTTCCTGCTGCCCCCATTTGCCTAGAGTGGTGAACTGCGGCCAATGGGAGCCACGATCGGCCGAACCTGTGTATGTGGCAGGTAAACAAACTGGGTGCTTACCCTGGCAGGCCATGTGCCAAAGGTTGACGATCCCTGGTGTAAGCTTTTCAGGGCAGAGAACATCTGTTATGTGTTTATACAGTGCCATACACAGTGGGGTCTTAATCTGAATTGGACCCAGTAGGTGCTACAGTCACACACAATATAAACAATAGTAATGTATAATCTACTTCTTGATTGTTTCTTTTTATCATCACTCTTCCTTCCATTTTACTACTGTAGGTTAAACAGAAACAAAGGGATTGATTTCAGCATTGGACATGACTGAGCTGTTAACAGCAGAAGATTCATATGAGGCCTCTTAGCCATCAAGCTGACAGTTTATGTAAAACCAGTGAGATTTCACAAGAAAGGTTATTTCACCAACCCTCCTCACTCTTCTGCTGCTGTTCTCCCTTTAGATTGTGCTGCTGACATTATAACTTAGATTGGTTTGTACAGTAAGACAGCAAAATTCATCTTGTTTTTTTATCTGTGCTTTTTGATAATTAAAGCCCCAACATTCCTATCATCTTTGGTTTTTCCCTCTCTTTCCATTCTGAAAGGACAGAAACTAGTGATGGGCAAATCAGTTGAGTAAAAGGAAGACTCATCTCAAATACCTAGCCCCCTTCTCAGATTTGTTTTACTTTAGATCCTCCTTGATAGAAAAATGCTATATTAAAATAGTAAATACATATATTATATTTGTGCATAGCCTGCTAATACAAAGAGTGCCATCTATTGGCATATGGGAATATCTATTACTTTGTGTATCATGGGCCTTGTCATCTACATCTGGGATAGGTGATGAAAAAAAGATCAGTGGGTACTCCACAGCATTTCTTCCTTTACCCATTCCCAGCGATGTCTCTCCATGGACATGTGGCAGGAGATTAGGATTCATGTGTTCAGAGAGACAGGTCACTGTGTGAAATATCATTCTCACCCTCTCCCACTTCCCTGAGATAAAGATATGCCAAGTGTGACACAGGGCCAGAAAGGGTTACACAACTAGCAGGCTAATGACCCAGATTCAACCTTTAGAGACATATCAGTAGATAAGGTTGTGTTTTTTGTGTATTTATATATATATTGTTAGAGGTTGACAATGTAACCAAATAGTTCCTGTCTATTGCTCTATTTAAATATTAACATTTAAATGAACTGTAAATGTAGTGATATCATGGCCTTAATTGCCCTTTGAAATTTGTGTTAAATCACCTGCAAAGGGTGGGATATAGGCAACTGTTTTATGTTAATCCATGTAGCTAATTAGCAGTGATGCTTAGGAAATAGGAGGTCTACTTCAAAGTTAGGATAATTGCCTATTGTTCACCCAAGGACTGCATTCTGTCAGGAGGCTATCATAGCCCACCAATAATTTCTATAAAAAACTTTTGGGGCCTGATCCTTTCATCTCAAATCTGCTTATGCTTTATCAGGGGAAGCTTGAGGCACAAAATTGAAATCTCCAGTTCCATTCCAGATCACTCTGATATTGGATTTTGAACAGTGGACTGAGCCTATGGATTAATTCTGAAAGAACTCTTTGCAACTGTAAAGCCCACCATCTCTACTATGAAATTGGCCAAATAACTCTATCCATCTCTGTATGTATTATGATCATTTAATCAATACTCTCTTTTCTTTTTTAATATATTTTAGTTTATTTAATAAGAATTGGTGGTAAGTGTTTATTTGGGTAAGATCTGAAATATTTGTTAACATGGAGGGCAATGTGTCCGATCCTTTGGGATTGGTAGAACTTTTTATATGATGAACAAGACTTTCAGTAATCCTCATCACATTTGAGTTGGCTGTATGGGAGGATGCTTTAAGAGAATTGTGTTTTTGGCTTCTCTGTAACCAGTAAGGTATTGTGGAAGCTATTTTGTTGCTGGTTTGGTAAATCTAAGTATTGTAATAACTACCAGTTTGGGGGATTGTCTGTCCCATTCTTTTCAGTTTGCCCTAATTGAGCAATCTCAGCATGGTCCCCTGGTATCATCACGTAAACTAATGCTATCCACTCTCTCATTGAACAACTCCCTCCAGAAGAGTGAAAACTCCTTTGAGGTTGTTTTGGAGCCAGTGGGGAGGCATTGGAAGCATTGCTCATAAAGAAGTCATTCTGCCTGGAATGCCGGGCAGCAATGTGGAGACAACAGGTTTGCAAGTGGTTGTTATGTGCCTTACAAGTGAGATCTCTATTGATCAAGGGACATCCAAAGGTTCTGAGGACTTCAAACTCCTGCTTCCCCATTTACCCTGGCCTAATAGGGAAATTTATAGAAAACTGCAAATAATAATCCATGGAGTCTCCTGTCCCCTGAGTAAGTTCTTCCCATGTAAGAGATAACTTAACCTTGTGATTAGGTTCAAAATGATATTATAACATTGAATAAGGCTTCCTGAACAATATACTTAACAGTGCCAGAAGGAAATTAATTTTTACTATAGATAACTGGAAGTATTTAGTCATATCAGCAAAGACAAGGAGCAACATGTCAATCCTTACAGCAATGCAAATGAATGAACATTTGAGTTACTTGCAGTAACATGAATAGACATAATGCAGTCTGTGGCTCACAACTGAGAATACAAAATTCATGACAAACTGCTGCAAAATAGGACAGACAGACCCAAAACTGGTGGTTATTCTCCCATAAGACATACCAAACCAGCAACAAAAGTAAACTTCTGTTTTACCACACTAACTAACAAGAAGTCAGAAAAGCAGTCTACTTAGGCATTCCAGTTCTCTATCCAACACTCAGACACTAGACTTAAAGATGAGTGGTTATTTAAAATCAATTTAATCAAACAAAGGGTTCTTCTGATCCCAAAGGACCTAGCCAAAGACCTAGGTCAATATACAACTCAGATCTTACCCAATAATCATGCTGTTTCCAATCCTTTACAATCTAAAATCTAAAGGTTTATTTATAAAAAGAAAGAAAGAAAGGTGAGAGTTAAAATTGGCTAAAGGAATCGAATACATACAGTAATTGCAAAGCTCTTGGATCAGGCTTGTCACAGTGATGGAATAAACTGCTGGCTTGTTAAGTCTCTGGTTGCTTCCAAATCATTGGAAGGTCCTCAGTCCCTTGGTTAGAATGCTCCCCTTAGTATAAGTTCATAGTCCAGAGGTTTGAGCAGGAAAGAGGCCAAGTGGAGATGGTTCCAGGGCCCTTTATAGCTTCTCTCAAGTGAAGGGAAACCCATTGTTCTCACTGTGGTTAATTACAGGTAGCAAGATGGTATTTGGGGTCACATGGGCAAGTGACATGTCCATGTGTGATTTTTCTTAGTCACAACAGAAGCTATTACCTATACTCCAGATGGAATGTGCACAGGCAAGTCCATTAAGTGCAGATAGGCATCTCCCATGGTCCGTTATGAGTTAAGTGTTCCTTGATGAGCTATTTAACTTGAATAGACCCTTCAAGATGTGCAGGCTAAATACCTTGTGGGTGCTACCCAGGAGAAAACATATTTGAAATACAGGTATAATGCTAATATTCATTACTTCAAATACAAAAATAATACATGCATACAAATAGCAGAATCATATTCAGCAAATCATAACCTTTCCATAGACACCTTACTTGACATTCTTTGTATAAGATTTGTTGCAATTATATAAAATTGGTAGCAACAATGATCTACATCAGTGCTACTCAAAGTGGTGGTCCGTGGACCGGTGATGGTCCGCGAGACATTGGCTGCCAGTCTGCGGCGAGTATCCAGGAAAGAAAGAGAGAAATAATAGTATCATTTAAAAATCGCACCGGAATTCAACCAAGAATAATGATCAGTCGATAAAAGTTGACAATATTAAATAATATTATGTTTTCAGAAGCACATATTATAATGATAATTATGCCATAGTGTTACAGCATGTTTTGCATGAGACATGCGAGCGCGTGCTTATCCCACTCCTTCACATGTAAAGACCCCGCCCCACCGGCAGTTACCATCGAGAAGTTGAATAGATAGCGTCATACGGATCTCTGCGTGTTTGTCATTTGGGACCCCGTCCGAACCCACTGATCTGAGAATGTAAGTACTAATAATATTATAAATTGTAATAATTATTTTCTATCCTATCCTGCAGTATCCCTTACGAAGCAGATAGAGACAATTGAGCACCACACACCTATAGCCAAATAGATAGTCCTTGTAAGAGCAGGATTTTATAATTGTACTAATTGTACTTATAAGAATTGATGTAAACTTTGATTTCATTCTGCCAGACACCCTTTTTGAATAATAGAAAGGAATGACTGTCTGAGACAGGGATCCTGTTTCCAATATGAATTACAATTAGGATCTGTTATAAAGTTTAGTTAGTAAGAGACAGGATTTTGTATTGTGTCTATGATAAATACATTAGAGAAATGTTGAGGGCCTGAAGCCCCAATGTGAATTGTTTTAGTTATAAGATTTAGCAAGGCTTGATTTACAATGTATTTTGCTGAATATAAAATACTGCTGTCTGTATACCATTGAAGGTTTCTGTGAGAGACTGTGTAAATGAGGAATGAATACATCAGGAAAAGATAAGGTGTAAAAGCCATCACAAATGTCCAGATGGTCAAGAAAAAGTGATAGGCTTAGAAAGACCAGGAGACAATCAGAAAACATCCATTATATCAAATGCTAAACATGTTAGCAGCATTGACGACCTCAGAGGTGAGGCAGGCACCCCGGAAGGCGAGACAACAAATAGGAGATAACGATGGGAAGCCCAACAATAACCATCAAATGATAACAGTAGAAAACCCCAAGATTAACACCACTTACGGACTAATGATTACAGGCTGACATTGCAAAATGCATGGACTCAAATGGGAATTTACAACTATAAAGCTGGGGTGTTTTGCCATGGAACTCTGGGTTCAGTCCTGCAAAGCCTCGGAGCATCAGATCGCGACCGACAGAGCCCAGCTCCTCACTCATGCTCAATCTAACTGGCCATTAGATTGACTCGAGCTACAACAGACTGGTAACTATAAACATGAACTGGCAGGACTGTGTGTGTGTGTGTGAGAGAGAGAGACTGTTCCCCTGAAAAGATCCCGTGTGCTTTGTATGAGCATAACCTCCTCGCTTCCTCCATATCCATATTTTGTTTCATACACGCTCTCATTGTTTTTACTTATAGCCTTCCCCTCTTCTAGAATCAAACCTACGTGTTTCTGCCAGGAAGTTCTCGAAATTCCTCACTTTCTCACTCCATATCTTTCAGGCAGGTAAATCTTATTTTTGACGTTCATTATTCATTCTTTCCATATGTTCAAACCATCTTAACTTTCCAATTATAATCCTGTTTGCAATTTAATTTTAAAATTTATATTATCTTCTTATCCTAATATTACTTACTGTATTAATCAGTGTTCTCCCACACATATTTCTCAATAAAAGCATTCCCGCTACCTTGATTCGGCTTTCATCCTAATATCATAAATTAAGTATATACCCAGGGAAATGGAATTTATATTAATTATTTTTATGCCTAATTTACAGATGGCAAAGTGAGGCCCAATCAACATATTTATCAAGCAGAGACATCCGGTTGCTGAACACGCAAATAATTCTGAATCAGATGATGGCAATGTAAATGAAACTGAAGTATTGTCAACAAAAAGAATTCGTACTAGCTTTACTCGGAAATATGACTCCTCATATATTCAGTTCGGTTTTGTAGCCACGAATGATGGTGGAGTGCCAAAACCGCAGTGCATTATTTGTGGTGATGTGTTGGCTAATGACGCAATGAAGCCGTCAAAGCTCAAGAGGCATTTAAATACAAAAGATAATGAAATTAGTTCAAAGCCGAAAGAGTTCTTCGAAAGAAAGCATGTTGATTTAAAAGGCCATCAGAAACAGATCTTTGAAGTGTCACACATAAATACTTGTGCTTTGCGAGCTTCTTATAAAGTAGCACTTCATGTTGCTAAGGCTAAAAAGCCATACACAATCGGTGAGACACTAGTGATAGGCTGTATTAAAGATTTCTGGGCGAGCTGGCGGCAAAGAAAGTGTCTCAGGTGCCACTTTCAAATGACACTATAGCTCAATGAAGTCACGATCTGGCTCTGAATATGGAAGATCAGCTCATAGGACAGATTAAATTAGCAAAGTACGTTTCTTTTCACCTTGATGAATGTACAGACGTTACTAATACGGCAATTCTGATGGTGAATGCGCACTTTGAATATGAGAGTGATTTGAAGGAAGAGTTTTTGTTTTCTGCTTCACTACCAACAAAAACAACAGGTTCTGAAGTGTTCAAGATTGTGAGCAACTACATCATTAACAAACGTGGTATGGATTTCAAGTTTTGTGTAGGTGTATGTTCTGATGGCGCTGCTGCAATGACAGGATGGCATTCTGGAGCAGTTACCCAAATTAAGGCACTTGCACCCGAATGCAAGTCAACGCACTGCTTCCTTCACCGAGAAACTCTTGCAACAAAAAAACGTCAACAGAACTAAACAGTGTGCTCAGCGAGGTTGTAAAAATTGTGAACCATGTAAAGGCGAATGCTTTAAGTTCGAGACTATTCACTGCATTATGTGATGATATGGGAGCTGATCATAAACAGCTCCTATTGCATGCCGATGTACATTGGTTATCGAGGGGAAAAGTCCTGTCAAGAGTATTTGAGCTCCGAAACGAGCTTGCCAAGTTTCTTCAGGACAAAAAACCAAATTAGTCACAATTGTTCCGAGATGTGGATTGGATAGCCAAGCTGGCTTATTTGGCTGATATCTTTGCCATCTTTAATGATCTCAACACCTCCATGCAGGGAAGGATGACTTCATGTCTTAGAATGGCAGACAAGATCGACGGACAGAAATGAAAGCTAAAAGCATGGAAGAGTTGAATGTCAAGAGATTGTTATGACATGTTTCACAACTTAGCGACAATCATCGCCGATGCAGGCGAAGACCTTGATGTTACATCTCTACGAAACGTCATCAGTGAACGTTTGACAAATTTGGCAGAACGTTTTGAGTTTTAATTTCCAGCAGCCAATCAAAATGAAACTGAACGCACAGAGCACTATGCAAAAAGACTTTGTCAGTTAGCCCCAACATCTGAAGTTTAGCTGTATGTGTTCCACATTAACAGTAACAGACAATATACTTTGCTCTGGTGTACTTTGCTTCGTATTTGGAATTCAAACATTCTACTGATATTCCTGCCACTGAGAACAGACATCAGGAAAATAAAGCTTCAAGAATTATTAGAACCATTAAAAAGAGTGTGAGGTGTGCAATACACTCTATGTTTAGGCAAAACCGGCACAGACTAAGGCAAAAAACGAAATAAACAAAAAGCCAAAAAAAACAAACACAACTCCCGAGCCCACAATACTTACTCCTATTATCTCCCCAGTTAGCCCTTCCCTCATCCCCCCTCCCTATCACAGTGATTCGCTAATATGGAATAATGACAATATGTCTATTGTTCAAGAAAGCATGGGTTCTGCATGCTACCACATGAGGTTATAGCCCCAGTAAGTCAGGACTGGAGAACCCACTTGGCGTGTGGAGGCTATGTTTCTCTTGACCACCTGTTAGAGTCTTAAAATCAGCCTTGCTCCTTCAACTCTGTATGCTTTTATCTTTGCTCAGTCTTTCACACTATGGATTTTCCATGGATTTCTTTCCCCATCATTACCTCTAAGCTTGTTTTACTTCCATTATCTCTTAAGCAGAATACAGAACCAGTTACTAATATTAGTATTCATTGTCATAGAATCATAGAATATCAGAGTTGGAAGGTATCTCAGGAGGTCATCTAGTCCAACCGCCTGTTCAAAGCAGGACCAATCCCCAGCTAAATCATCCCAGCCAAGGCTTTGTCAAGCCTGGCCTTAAAAACATCTAAGGAAGGAGATTCCACCACCTCCCTAGATAATCCATTCCAGTGCTTCACCACCCTCCTAGTGAAAAAGTTTTTCCTAATATCCAACCTAAACCTCCCCCACTGCAACTTGAGACCATTATTCCTTGTTCTGTCATCTGCCACCACTGAGAACAGCCTAGCTCCATCCTCTTTGGAACCCCCCTTCAGGTAGTTGAAAGCAGCTATCAAATCCCCCTTCATTCTTTTCTTCTGCAGACTAAATAATCCCCATTCCCTCAGCCTCTCCTCATAAATCATGTGCCCCAGCCCCCTAATCATGTTTGTTGCCCTCTGCTGGATTCTTTCCAATTTTTCCATATCCTTCTTGTAGTGTGAGGCCCAAAACTGGACACAGTACTCCAGATGAGACCTCACCAATGCCAAATAGAGGGGAATGATCACGTCCCTCGATATGCTGGCAATGCCCCTACTTATACAGCCCAAAATGCCGTTGGCCTTCTTGGCAACAAGGGCATGCTGCTGACTCATATCCAGCTTCTCATCCACTGTAATCCCCAGGTCCTTTTCTGCAGAGCTGCTGCTTAGCCAGTCAGTTCCCAGCCTGTAGCGGTGCATGGGATTCTTCCATCCTAAGTGCAAGACTCTGCACTTGTCCTTGTTGAACCTCATCAGATTGCTTTTGGCCCAATCCTCCAATTTATCTAGGCCACTCCGGACCCTATCCCTACCCTCCAGCGTATCTACCTCTCCCCACACCTTAGTGTCATCCGTGAACTTGCTGAGTATGCAATTCATCCCATCATCCAGATCATTAATAAAGATGGTTGAACAAAACCGGCCCCAGGATCCACCCCAAAGGCACTTTCTTGATACCGGCTGCCAACTAGACATCGAGCAATTGATCACTACCTATTGAGCCTGACAATCTAGCCAGCTTTCTATCCACCTTATATTCCATTCATCCAATCCATACTTCTTTAACTTGCTGGCAAGAATACTGTGGGAGATCGTATCAAAAGTTTTGCTAAAGTCAAGATATATCACATACACTGCTTTCCCCATATCCACAGAGCCAATTATCTCATCATAGAAGCTATTCAGGTTCTTATGTTCTTATGACTATCATCTTCTGATGGAGAAGAGGTTGGTTGAAGAAAATAATCAGTAAAGATATCAAAGATAAGATCTCCCATTCTGATAGAACACATTCATCTTCCATTTGTGGGGCAGACGCACAATGTAGCAGTCTGATTGGATCTCAGCTGCTATTAGATCAGGGATCGGCAACCTTTGGCACTCGGCCTGCCAGGGTAAGCACCCTGGTGGGCCGGGACGATTTGTTTACCTGCCGTGTCCGCAGGTTCGGCCAATCGCGGCTCCCCCAGCTGTAGTTCGCCGCTCCAGGCCAATGGAGGCGGCAGGAAGTGACGCGGGCAGAGGGATGTGCTGGCCGCGGCTTCCCGCAGCCCCCATTGGCCTGGAGTGGTGAACCGCAACCAGTGGGAGCTGCGATCAGCCAAACCTGCGGATGCAGCAGGTAAACAAACTGGTCTGGCCTACCAGGGTGCTTACCCTGGCGAGCCACATGCCAAAGGTTGCCGATCCCTGTATTAGATTATCATAGAATCATAGGATTGGTAGAGACCTCAAGAGGTCATCTAGTCCATCCCCTGCAGTCATGGCAGGATGAAGTATATCTAGACCATTCCTGACAGATGTTTGTCTAACCTGCTTTTAAAAATCTACAATGATGGAGATTCTGCAACCTCCATAGGCAATTTATTTCAGTGCTTAGCCACCCTCACAGTTGGGAAGTTTTTCCTAATGTCCGACCTAAACCTCCCTTGCTGCAATTTAAGCTCATTGCTTCTTGTAGCAGTTGTAAGCAGATCATCTCTTTTACAGATAAGAACTTTGTAACTGCCATCCACACATTTTTCACCTTCGTATCCGATTACTGGAGTATATTCTACATCAGGGATTGGCAACCTTTGGCACACGGCCCGTCAAGGAAATCCTCTGGCAGGCCGGGACAGTTTGTTTACTTACCGCATCTGCAGGTTTAGCCGATCGCAGCTCCTACTGGCCGTGGTTCACTGATCCCAGGAAGCAGCGGCAGCACATCCCTCGGTCTGCGCTGCTTCCCACAGACCCCATTGGCCTGGAACAGCGAACTGCAGCCAGTGAAAGCTGCGATTGGCTGAACCTGCGGATGCTGCAGGTAAACGAACTGTTCTGGCCCGCCAGCAGATTTCCCTGACAGGCCGCCTGCCAAAAGTTGCCGATGCCTGTTCTACGTGGAGCTACATTCTGAATCTATTCAGAAACTGAAACTGATGTGGAATTCAGCAGTTCATTTGTCACTGGGGTATGTCTTGTGACCATGCTACACCAGTGCTTTTGGATCTCTGAAGTGTACTGGTTAGAATTTCAATTATTGGTTTTGACCTATGATGTAATAAATAACTTGGTACCTAATAATCTAAAAAAAAATGCTGCTTTCCATGTGCCATCCTGCTAGAGTTGGGGTCAGCAGAGACTCTCAAACTGGACAATCTTGTATAAAAGAGATTGGGCAATAACATAGATTTATATATAAGGGCCGCTAATCATTGCAAGTTGCTCCCTTCTGGGTCTGAAGCAGCCCTTGTTTTTTGGTCGTTAGAGCAAACTGCAAAGCCCATTTGATTTCACATTCTATGAGGAAGTCTAGGTGGGAGAATTTAAAAATGCTTTTTGCTTCTGGATTATTATTAGTTGTTGTTCTGTTAATTAATGATTGAAAGGAAAATGAGAGCAGTGTCTATTTTATAGCCGTATATTTGAGCAATTGATAAAAAACAGAAGAATATGTTGACAAGTGTCCTATGAATGTAAGGCATGCAAAGAGAATAGTAGCATGCCCTACTGAGCACATCTTATATCACTATGTTGCATTATGATTTCAGGTAATGGAAATCTTCATGGCTTTTGGGTGTGCATAGCAGGTGGCACTCAAATATTAAACTGAAATTGCTTTAGTAGGTTATGTTATTCCAATTACAAATCTCTAATAACTTTTATTATAATAAGGTATCCAGCTTTTTCTAGGTAATTACTGTAGGTTTCCAAATAAGCAAAAGCTTTTCCTAATTTTACTCCATGGAACTTTATTGTTTTGGGGGGTTTTTTTGTTTGTGTTTGTTTTTATTACCCAGGTGATTACTACTGAGCATGAATATCTTATTTTTATTCACAGCTTTAAGATTTTCCTGCTCTCCCTCATCCCAACGAACTTTCTCCTGTTTGTAATTTTCTCTGTAATTGGTCTCACAGTAATATATGCTGGTGGATTTAAAAATTAGAATTTAATCACAAGTAAAGCAGCATCTTTAAAAATTACTGAGCATCTAACACCTGCCATCTCATCAGTGTTTGGTCTACATCTTTGCAAATTACTACATATATCATTCCTGACATGTAAAGTGGTACAGAGATTAAAACACAGCTTTCAAGTGAGCTAAGATACACAAGTGAGACCTACATCTTGTTGAACACCCTTTCTGGAAAAGATATTAGTGTTAAAGAAAATAATTAATTATACATATAAAATCTGACTAAAGGCTGACTTAAAACTTACTCAATGTCTATTTCCCTGTAAAGATGTCAAATCATTCTTTCTTTGATTTGTTGGCTTAGAAACAATTATAAGATACCATAAATTATGTGGAAATTTCTTCCACATAGCAACCGATAGCACATGATTTAGTTCCAGTTTTGCATTATACAGAATTAAATATGTTCAAAATGATTGGATCGTATTTGTTTATTCCAATGAACTTCTATTTATTTTACAAACTTTATATGCACCGTATAGGGTCCAAATCAGGCCTTTGATGCACTGGTAACTCTCTGGCTTCAGTGGAAACCCCACATAAACACTATAGGTCAGAATTAGTCCCACAGTGTATTTGACCCCTCACTATCTTTCCATTTGTTTAAAAACTGTACTTCCTGCTGTTCTGGAGGGCTCACTGTAAACTGGGTATTTTGAGGGCTCCTAGTGTCCCTAATTCCACCCACTCCTCATTATTGCAGGAACAGTAGGGATCCTTTCCCATCACCTCCAGTCCATTACATCATGACTTTGGGAATCCTGTTGCTTGGGTCTTGCCATTTTGGAGACTGGTTTCCGTATTGCACATAGATTTACAGTCTGAATGAACTTTATGAACTATTGAAAATAGCCATTATGCT